CATCATCTCCAGGACAAGTGATCTTGGTCATCTAAACATCAGTTGTAATAGCTGGAGATCTCCAGGTGCCACCTGGAGGTTGGCTTATGTTAATTTGGGTCTATGCAGTGGCAGATAAGGTAGAAAAGCACCTCCTCCTATGCCATGTCTTCCAGGTTCCAAGGGTCTGGAAAGTGGTTTCATAGCCAGTTACACAGTTGCCAACTCTGGGTTGGGAAATACCTGTAGATTTGAGGGGTAGAGCCTGGGGAGGGGAGGGTTTTGGGTGGGGAGGGACCTCAGCAGGGTATAATCCCCATAGGGTCCATTGTCTCCAGGAGAACTGAACTTGGTCATCTGGACATCAGTTGTAATAGCTGGGAATTTTTTTTTAGGGGCAATGATGTGCTGTGGCTGGGGAGATATTCAGGCCCCACAGGGAGACTGGGATATGCATTTTACCTCAGGACTCCCAAAAACAACAGCAGACTATTTAGAATGTTAGAGGCAAAGGCCAGTCAGGTCAAATATGCAAATGACCTCTGTGTTCTGACTGGCTATGGGGGGGAGAGGAACAGCAAACTCTTTAGAATGTTGGAGGCAGGACTCAGGCAACGCAGTCAGTGGACAGGGAGATCCTCTGAATGACAGATCATTCAGCCAACTGATTTTGGAGTGTGTTGGAATGTTCAGGGGAGTCCTGGACCATGACCAAAACATAATCTCTCCTTATAATAATTGTGTTTTGGGGGGGCCACCATTCTATGGGGTGGCGAGAAAAAATGCGCTCCCTCAGCCATTTGTCTGTCAGCTGCCACTCGGGGCAACTGGTATGCCATTGGCTGGGGAGGGGAGGACGAGCCTCACCGCCTTGGCCTGCACGGCCCTGGAATGGGCGGCCAGCGGCAAGTGAAGAGACAGACGAGGCTGTGGCAGGCGAGAGGTGCCGAGGCGGCTGCATCGCACTTCCCTTGCCTGGTGCGGGGAAAGACCTCTGAGGCAGCCAAACGGGAGCGGCTGCCCAGAGACCCCCACCCCCTCCTCGCCTGCACACCAAGGCAAGCAAGCTGAGAAAGGGCCGGGCAGCCCTTTGTGCCCTTACTCGTTAGTTCTCTTGCTCTCCCGCTGAGGCGGCTGGGCAGGAGAGGCCAGCCAGAGCCCCCCCACCCCATCCTGGCCCAGCCGCCAAGGCCATCGAGCCAGCTGTCCAGCCGCCAAGGCCATCGAGCCAGCTGCCAAGGCCGCCAAGGCCATCGAGCCAGCTGTCTTTCAGGCACTCCCCCTGGGTTCTCCTGTCCTTCCGCCCAGGGGGCCACCTAGGAGAAGCCTCTCAGAGGCCCCCCACCCGCACCGACAGAGGAGGGACGAGGCCGGCTGGTTTGCCCCACCGCCTCCAGCGCATAGCGTGGGGAGGCACGAGCCTGGCCGCCGGGGAGCTGCCACGCTCTCCTTTCCCAGTGCGTGGGCCCCCCCTCCGGCGGCCTCTCTCTAAGGCCCATTGCCTCTCTTTCCGCAATGGGAAATTATTATTGTGGATGCCTCTTCCACCCTGCCGTGGGCCTCAGTGGGCCATGAGGGTGCCAGGGAGAGTCCTGTAGTCTCCTGCAAACCATGCCTTCCCCTCACTGAGAGCCAGTTTGGTGTAGTGGTTAGGAGCGTGAACTCTAATCTGGGAGAACCGGGTTTGATTCCCCACTCCTTCACATGCAGCTGCTGGTGTGGCCTTGGGTCAGTTACAAGTTCTTTCAGAGCTGTTCTCTCAAGAGCAGTTCTCAAAAGTGCTCTCTCAGCTACCTCACAGGGTGTCTGTTGTGGGGAGGGGGAGGGAAAGGAGATTATAAACTGCTCTGAGACTCCAAGTGAAGGGTGGGGTATAGATCCATTCTCTTCTCTTCTTTTCTCATTGCTTCCCTGCATTGGGAATAGGTGGGTGGGGGGTGCTGACAAGGTTGTCACTGCTGCAGAGCCCTCACCAGTCACTGGGCTCATAGGCAAGTGCAGGAGGGGGACTACAAGTCCCAGCTAACATCATTGCTACAAAGAACTTGCATCTGGCTAACAGTGTACTGTGTAATGATGAGGCATGCAGGCCAGCTTTTTGCTCAGTCTCAGCAAATTATCTTGCTTATTACAACTTATTACAAAGTTAGTTGTGATTTATTCCTATTGTGTAGTGGGTTTTAACCGCATGGCTAGGCTGCAGCGGTTCGCAGAGCATCCTGCACGCTTCACTGCTACATAACAAGGACAAAGGGAAACGACCCGTGGGCCAACTATGTACACCCTGGGGACGCCCCCCTAGGTCCTATTGGTGGGTTTGAATCTCCCGCCAATGTCCCATTGGTCCCTCCGTGGAGAGACCAGGAGCCTAGTCCCCATTGTTCTTCCAGAGTCAAGTTCTGGGGTATTCGCTGGCCCCTAGTGGCGGCCAGCGGACACAACATCCCTCCCCCCATAGTTCAGACCGCCCCCTAGGTCACATAATCCTTGAGGTATGCCGGGGACCGCCGCACTCGGGCAGACCATCTGGGGCTTTACCGGGGCGGTGTTCAAGCGTGTAGTCGTAGGCCGCTAAGAAGATGGACCAGCGCAAGACCCTTGGGGAAATTACCTGAGGCGTCCTGCGATCGAGCGCAAAGAGTCCGAGGAGCGGTCAGTGGTCCGTGGCGATTGTGAAAGGCCGGCCGTAGACGAAGTCCCATTGGTGGGTTTGAATCTCCCGCCAACGTCCCATTGGTCCCTCCGTGGAGAGACCAGGAGCCTAGTCCCCATTGTTCTTCCAGAGTCAAGCTCTGGGGTATTCGCTGGCCCCTGGTGGTGGCCAGCGGACACAACAATTCCCATTCTCATTGAAAGCAATGGGGCTGAAGTAAGAGTAACGTTCTTTAGAGTGCCTTGATAGCATCTCTACAGCATATGACACAAAAACAGCTGGTGGTTGTGGAAATGGCTAGGGGCTGGAATTAAAGTCAGGTGGACATTTTCTCCAGATAGTTCACTGTAGCTACATGGGCTTGGTTTTCTGTTTACTTTTTTTACAGAAGAGTATGAGTGTTTTGAGTAGTTGTACTTGATTAGGATGTATGGTAGAAGACTACTACCCTTGCTTCTCCATGCTGTTTTGTATTGCATGATACCTTGCTTTGGCAGGATACAGCAAGAGTCCAAAGTATGGTGTCCATGTCCATGGTTCCTGCTGTCACCTTTCCTGAATCCCACTGAGTGTTTTTTTTGGGAGGTGGGCAGGACCAGGTAGGGCTTTGCCAAGCAATGCTTCAGATTGACTATTGGAGATTTGATTGGTTGTGCAGATTTTTAAAAATATTGTTTTGGCAGCAGCTGCCACCACAGCACAAGGGTCTACACTGTGTTACTGAAGTTAAACTGTGGCAATCATTTTGTGGCTGGCTCCACCTCCTGCAGCAGCCATTTTGTGGCAGCCATTTTGTTGCTGTGCCTACCATGCCATGTCAGAATTCCAAATGTGCCCACAGGCTAAAAAAGGTTGGGGGCTCCTGGGACAGAGTATTCCAGTGTTCTGCACATAATTCTGAAAAACAGAATCTACTGTTCATAAACTATTTTTAGATAGTACATTAATTTGCACTGTCTTTAATAGCCCCACAGCAATGTGCAGTACAAACCGGTGCTAGAGTGGAATGTGGCTACCCAGGAATCAGTGAAAAAGAATGCAATGACAGAAGATGCTGTTTTGATTCCAGTGTTACTGGTGTTATCTGGTGCTTCCATCCTAATAACGATCCAGGTATCAATTTCATTCATATCCTCACTTTCTGAATGGTGTGAATTAAATGATTTCTGATATCTTATCTCAAACCTCATGACAATTACACAATGGCCATGCCCCCCCACCCCCTTCTGTGTATAGCAGTTCTTTATTCATGGCAAACAGATTCTGTAACTGGCTGGCCAGAAACATAACCTTCCACTTTGCAAACCAGCTCCTTATACACTGTGGAGTTTTATTGTACTTAATCCATGCTTCTGATGAGCTTTGAGCACTGAACTTGAGCATACCCATCTAGTTTCAGCAGGGTTTCATCACTAGATGTTCTCTAACATGGACTTGGATGCGGTAGCATGAAGAGTTGCAGCTTCTACTAGTCAGGCTTCCTGTAGTTCATGAGCATGGACTGCTACTTCTGGAAGAAAACAGTGTCTACTATAGATAGGGTGGCTACATGCTCTAGTCCATATACTAAGGGACAAACTTTCTTGTGATGAGAATCTGCAATCAGATCCCCCAACATATAATTTAGCTGCCAAATAAAAAAATAAAAAAAATAAAAGGATGGGGTGGTATGTGTGTGAATCCAAGCCATATGTAAGGCAAGATAGGACAGATACTGAAATGAATATATTTGCATATTTAAGCATATGTACATGTAACCCAACACGTTGCCTAAATCTGTGTTTAAGAAAAACCTGCCTGTGAATGGGGGGGGTCTTATATACTCGTAAACAATGAAGCCCCCAGCCAGTGAAATGCCCAAGTCTTATCTCCCAGCACATGCACACTATGGCCAAGTTCAGACTGGCAGTTTGCCCCGATATAGGCGTGTGTGAGGAACGTTTCACAAGCGGATTAAAGGGGCCGTTCACACAGGCACATCTGTCTGGCGTTCCCCACCCGTACTCAACCTGTCTTGTAGCGCTTGCCTCCCGGGTTTAAAAGATACCTGGTGAAAGTGGTAGCAACCCCTGGAGAGCCCATTTATCCCACTTCATTCCACTTCCTGGAAGTGTGAACACTAAACGCAAAAAGTCGGGAACAGCCCGCGTTAGTAATGTGTGCCAGCTGTTCACGCGGACTGACCTCCTAGCCTCACTCTGGCACCAGGAAGGTGCAGGTTTTTGCCTTGAAGAGGGGGTAGTGATGTCGTCAGATGTGCCTATGGCCCACAGGAGCCAGATCCTGCCCTATTTGCTGCTGCACCTAGGCGTCTGCCATGAGGAAAACGCCACTTACAGCTGTGCCTCCAGGCCAACAGTGTGAACGCTCTTCCCGGTATGCTCCCGCATCAGTCCACGCAGTGTGATCGGGAAAACCCGGAACAGTTTGTTCTGGCTCTTTTTTGCAACAACTCCATCCCGCTTCAAACTGTCAGTCTGAACTCAGTCTATAACTCTTTATATTTCAAAAGCTCTGTTCCATACTAGTTTTTAATTCCATGCCACCATGAACAACAGATGTAGCTCTCTTTCCATAGTTTAAAGGTCACATTTTCACCAGACTTCTGTTGACTTATTGGAGAGCCAAGCCTTTAGTGGGAGCAATTCAGAAACATTAAGAAACAAGCCGGAAACTATCCTTACAGATAAACTTAGGCCTAAATTCCCTGCAGTCTCAGATGGGCTATATCAGCCAAAGGTTCATAAACGTTGGGACAGTATCAGCTCTATGTTTACTATCTTGAGTTCCATGGAGGAAGAAAGCCGGGATAGGAAAAATAAGTTGCTGAACCTAACACACTAGGGGAATTTCAGACAGCCAATATGTTCTGTTTCAGGAACTGTTCACTAACGGTTTCTGTACTGATATTTCAGACAGAACCGTTTTAGTAACAGTTCCCTAATGGAATATATTGACCCTTTCAGACACAAATGCTCCTGTCCCATTAGGGAAGCGTTCCTGAGCCGTTTTACCTGAAAACTGCTTCCAAGCGGTCTTCAATTTTCTATACCATTCCTGAAGTGTTACGGGGTGCTGTGTAAAATACCCCCATACCCCTTCCTCCGATGACGAGGTTATCTTGCCCGTGCGGGCGATCTCCGTCTTTTTTTAACATTCTTTTAAGAGTGTTATAGCGCTATAACACAACACCAAAACAGCACAATAGCAACCCCACTACCTGGACCACTGAGATACATGAGATCACTACTTCTATGGAGAACAGGGATTTCCATGGAGTACAATGCCATGGAGTCCTCCTTCCAGAGCATTTGCTATATCCCTGGGAACTGATATCTGTAGGCAGGAGATAAGCTGTAACTCTGCAATGCTCCTGCTAAGCTGTGGAGTCCTGTGAGCAAAAATTCCACTTTGTGAGCTACTGGCATTAGAATTGAGAGCAAGTTATTTGGCTACTGCATAAATTAGTTTGCTCTGGAGCCATTTTTCCTGAGCTAAGACAAAAATGTGTGAGCTGGAGGATAAAAAACTGAGCCAGCTCGCACTAACTCAGCTTAGAGGGAACACTAGCTGAAAGTACAGGGGATCCCCAGGTCCCTCCTGGAGGTATGGCATCCTGAAATGCTGGCCATCAAAATGAGAATGCTGTTTGCAAGCCGGGAAGGAACTAGTGTTAAAAAATGCTCTCAAACTGTGCGTTCCCAAGCTTCCACTTCCTATTTTTAAATCCCGCAATCTCATGTATCTCAATGGAGTCCAGGTATTCCAATGGGGTTGCTATTGTGCTGTTTTGGTGTTGTGTTATAGTGCTATAGCACTCTTAAAAGAACGTTTAAAAAAAAGACGAAGATCGCCCGTGCAGGCGAAAAAGGGTGGGAAAACAAAGCGGCACAGTCTGAAATGCCAAACCACTTCAGAGATGGCTCCATACCAGTAGGGGAAAGGCTGTGTGAAATGGCTGCCCCTGTACTGGTTTACTCCAAGATGGTACAATAACGGCTTAAAAAGGGTAATCTGAAATTCCCCGATTATTTCTGTTGATTTCAGTTTTTAATGCATACTCATAGAGGTCAATAGAGCTTACTCCAAAGTAAGTGTGCATGGCAATATTAACAAGCTGTACCATTAATACATTCTTAATCCTGTTTCATTTTCAGAATGCTTCTAAAATAAATGTGAATCAAGAATCTACCGGTCAACCCTAATTGTTCCTCCAGAAGAAAAATATGGCTGATTTTTAACTGTGTACCCTCATAAGCTCTCCTGTTGATGAATCCTGCACATGGCTGTCAACAGCATATGTCTTCTGCACTCCATCCTACCTGAAAGAATAAAAGGATCTAATACATCTTGATTGTAATTTTTCTACTATGATCCTTGAAAGAAGTGTGGGTATGTTGGGGGTAAAGGGATAACAGCAGCCTTTTCCTGCATACTTATAAAAGATGTTGTGACTTTTGATTCTGTAGTAGGATTTGATAAATCCCCACCAATTCAGCAGAAACTGGGATATAAGAAGACAAGCCTCCTTTTAGTGCCTCCAAACTCCCCAGCAGTTATGGAGCTAATGGATTCCCTGCTGTTTTGCACCTTAAAGACTTCACAAATCAAAGGCCATCTTTGCACAGCCAGGGGTGTGGGTACAGATTCGTCCCGAACCTAATGATAAGCTGAGTGACAAGAAACCCAAATGCAGGTGAAAATAATATAAATAATAACTGTCCATGCTCTGCTCTGAGACAGATCATTCCTAATACTCCAGTGCTTGAGGTTCCATGCTTGAGACTTATAGCATTCCATTGCTTTTAACACTTTCTTCCAGACTGGTTCACACTGGAATCAAAGCCAGGCTAGATACAGAGTGCTGAATGAAATGGAGCACAGGGAGATCAAGGGAGGTGGCAGAATTTAGTTCTCCTTTGTCTGTGACCCCATTTTTGTTATCAATCGATCTTCCATCCCCTGCTTTGGACATAAGTGGGTGGACATGCCCCTCCCCCAGCCATGTTTAGTTTGTTGACTGGGGTTCACTCCAGAAAGCCTATGGTTAAATTCAGATGGACGATTACTCAACATTTTCCCAACATATGCCATCAGAAGGGAAGGTGGGCCACAATAGAGGTATAAAGCACCAGAAAAAATATTTCATATGCATATACCCTGACCTGAATAGCCCAGGCTTGCCTGATTGTAACAATGTTCCCTCTAAGCTCCACAGTGTTGTGAGCAGAAAGTCTACCTTGTGAGTGAAAAAACTAGTAGCATTAAAGTTGTGAGCGAGACTACATCTGACTGTTGTGTAAATTAGTTTTTTAGAAGATTTTTTTCCATAACCTTGTAAAAATCTCAGAATAAATTGTTTTAAATTATCAGGGGAATGATGTAGACATAGTTTATCTTGATTTCAGTAAGGCTTTCTATAAAGTTCCACATAATATTCTTGTTGACAAATTGGTAAAATGTGGTTTGGATCCTATTACTGTTAGGTGGATCTGTAACTGTTTGACAGATCACACCCAAAGAGTGCTTGTTAATGGTTCCTCATCCTCTTGGACAGGAGTGACAAGTGGAGTGCCTCAAGGATCTGTCCTGGGACCTGTTTTGTTCAACATCTTCATCAATTATTTGGATAAAGGAATAGAGGGAATACTTATTACATTTGCAGATGACACTAAATTGGGAGAGGTAGCAAATACAGTAGAAGACAGAGTCAGGATACAGGATGATCTTGACAGGCTAGAAAACTGAGCTAAAACAAATAAAATGAATTTCAATGGGGATAAATGTAAAGTTCTGCAATCAGGTAGGAAAAATCAAATGCATATTATAGGATGGAGGAGACGTGTCTTGGCAGTAGTATGTGTGAAAAGGATCGAAGGGTCTTCATAGACCATACACTGAACATGGGTCAGCAGTGTGATGCAGTACCTAAAAAGGCAAATGCCATTTTGGGCTGCATCAACAGAAGTATAGAGTCCAGTTCACGCGAAATGATAGTATCACTTTGATCTGCTCTGGTTAGACCTCACCTACAGTATTGTGTTCAGTTTTGGGCCCCACAATTTAAGATGGATACAGACAAGCTGGAACATGTCCAGAGGAGGGCAACAAAG